ATAATGTTTCCATGAACTTTGAAGCAACCACATTATCAAGTAAGGCATCACTCACTTGTAACAAAAGGTTACAAAAACACATAAGAACCTATTACAAAAGACTATTGAGCTATGAACATAAAGCTCCTGAACAAAACCAAAAAAAACCCTATTACAAAAGACTATTGAGCTATGAACATAAAGCTCCTGAACAAAACCAAAAAAAACTGGAGCCAAACAATATTATCAGGCATTTGATGAAGCAATTGAGGAGCTAGACACTCTTGGAGAAGAATCCTACAAGGATAGCACCCTCATAATGCAGCTCCTTAGAGACAACCTCACCCTTTGGACTTAAAATAGCAATAGCATGTTGGACAACAACTCTCTTAGCAAGCCAATATGTTGAACAGAAATATGGTTAAATGCGTATTAATGGAGAATCGAAATAATTGACCTTGATAGAAACCCCTGTGTTCTAAAAGACTTCAGAAATTGAACCATTACTAAAAAATCAAGCTTTATGAAAGATTTGTACAAGTAATATGGAAATATTTCATGAATTTAATTATAATAAAGATCAAATTCTTAACTTTTACATACCTTTTATGTGAAGCCAAGATGAAGAACAATGAAGAAGGAAGGGGGTTTTTTGCCGCGAAGACGGCGGGGAATAGAACCGCGAGTTTGAGGAGGAGCAGACAAAGATGGCGAAGTCGTTGGGCGAAGTCGGTTGGATTTTGATAGAAGGGAAAGGAGATGGCAAAGTCGGTTGTGATTTTGATAGAAGGGAAAGGAGATGGTCGGTGGGTTTTGAGGATACAGATAAGGGTGAAGTCGGGTGAAATTCTAATTATAGTTTTGAGTAGCATTTTTTTCCGGTGGACCCCACTTTTATCAACTTCGGTGGTTTTTCAGAGTCTTTGAAGACGGAAATTTTCAAGGAAGTGAAGATGCCACGTAGATTCCACGTCATCAGTTAAGGAAGTAGCGGAAGTAGATTTTCAAGAGAAACAAACATATATTTTTACCTAGAAGTAGGAGAAGTAGCTTTTACTTCCTCTACTTTCGCTATTTCACAGTTACTTCAGTGCAAACAAACGGGCCCTAAAGAGAAGAAGGAAGAGGCGGAAATGAGGAAGAGAAATTGCAGCGGAAGAGGATGATTAAGGTAGGTCTAAAATGAAATTATAGCAATTCTAATAGTAAATTTAATAATAATTGAGTCCTAAAAGTTTTAAAACTATGCACGTGAATGTCGCATACTCGCATGGGATTTTGGGGAAACCGCTCGCGTTTGGACGTGTTTGGCAACCGGAAAGTAAACGGCAAGTGAACCTAAATTTTGAAAGTGGCTCCACTTTATAATTTTTTTCTCATTTGGCATTTGGAAAGTGAAGTTTGTTGTAGATGGTTAAAACATAATCCATCTAGGCCAAAGACTCAGCTTGGAACTAAAAAGTGAACGCCCATGCATGGCGTAAACACTTCAAATGGGCCGAAAGTCGAGCCCACAACAACATGTAGCGAAGCTCGCCTAGAAGAAAATGGGAACTCTGCCATGCAGTTCATCTCGATCCGACCTAGTCAAGAGTGGGTCGACTCCCAATTTTGACTTAAGCCCGAGTCGAAATGTGTCATTAAATCGACCAAGTTATGAGTCAAATTCTTTGTTAAATTCGAACTCGCCAGTGAAGTTCGCCAACGAATTAATAAGCGAACTTTGCCCGTAGCTACCTGTTGGTCTTGAGAGTGGAGACCCAAACCTAGAATCAAAATCAACAATCGCATGAAAATTCAAGACAGGCCATGAGTGTGGTGTCTGTCACACCCTGGTGTGGTAGAATCTGCCCTGTCTGTTATGGGTATGGTGTCTGTCATTACCTGGTATGGTAGAATCTGCCCTGTCTGTCATGGGTGTGATGTCTGCCACACTAGAGTGTGTCAGACTCATTTTAGAATTCTAATCTGTTTAGAATTGTGTTTATTATAAATAGAAACACGTCCATTAAGGGTTTAGGAGAGAAAAAGAGCACGAAAAAAGAGGATTTTGAGGGCTCTTTGAGATCAGAAATCTTAGAGAGAGAGAGAGAGGTCAATTGCAAGCATTGTAATATTCTTCAATTAATTAAAGAATTGTGTGGTGTGGCTCCCGAGGACGTAGGCACGTTATTGAACCTCGTTAAATCTTATGTGCTCTTTCTTGTTTACTTTCCTACAAGTTTTTATCTTTGATTTGTGGTGAATTTCTTTCTTGCTCAACTTTCCTACAAGTTTTTATCTTTGATTTGTGGTGAATTTCTTTCTTGCTCAACTCTCAAACACAAGATCTGGAAGGGTTATCTTTGATTTGTGGTGAATTTCTTTCTTGCTCAACTCTCAAACACAAGATCTGGAAGGGTACGGATTTAATTTGATTATTTCGAATCCCTAACACTACCCACTTGGGCCACATCATCCACGATTTAGGAGATGTCTCACCCATGTCCGCATGGCTTCACCCAAATACCTTAGCAAAGTTCGCCAACCAAGTAATCAGCAAACTTCAACAATCAACCGTTTGAAAGCTATTCTTAAGGGGATAACTGCTTCTCCACCATCTCCTATTTTAATGGCCAATTAATCTACAATTAACTACCATTAACTGTCTCTTTTAGCTTATAAATAAAATGTGATGGAGATTGTTCATTCGAGAGATGGACCTACACTCCCACAGAGATACATATAAAAAGAAAGAGGATATACGATTAAACACCTCATACACGCACGATTTTCCTCTATTTTTGTGTTTGGTGTGAAAGTCGACATCTTCATTGAGGTATTCATTACAACTTCAATCGTTACAATGAAAACAAAAGGATAGTCTTTTTATAAGACTCTTACACAATGAAAATGAAAAATTATAACTCTCGTCAAAACAAACACAACAGACGTTTATCACCGGCTGTTTGCGTGGGATCTTAGCATGTGTCAGGGTTTATCCGAGGACTACCAAACGATCAGCTCAAAGTGTAGATTTCGTTGACTCGTGAAGGAGTCAAGAAACCAAAGCAATTATCTTGGCAACTACGAGATAATCACTCTTCTCGAGATCGCAGCAATGGTGCGATCTCAAGGGAAGAACTGAGCTGCATATCTGTCGAACTCTCCTTCTTTATGCCGAAGAATTCGCTGAGATCTCCTCCTCCTCTCTGAAATTCGTGGCTCTTCAGTCTCCAATTTAGCAGGACTTCACCAAGACTCGAGAATTCTAGATCTGTTCAAATGAAGGCCCTAGAACTGTATTTATAGGCTTCGAGAGCTCTATTTTCGGATAAGAACGGACGGTTCATTCTTATCTTTAGTTATAACCACTTTACCACATTCTAGGATAGCTTCAGATCAGTTGGAGCAAAATCCAAACGGTTAATGGGCGAAACAGCTTCGAAACAGTATTTTTAGACTAGTCCTTGGCCGAGACACTTGGAGTGTCTCGGTCATGGCCTAGACACTTGAAGTGTCTCCGCTAAGGCCCAGGTCAGGCGCGCATCGGTCATTTTCGCTGTATTTTCCTCGTCCGATTTTAGAATTACGTGATTCAAAGTGCGTAGGAAATCCGACGAAGAGCTCTACAATCTCCCATGGGTGAATCATACATAGGGTGAACTAGACACGAGGGACGTTTCGTCATTTGTAAGCAAAACGTAACTCCCGATCGGATCGTTTCTTCGTTATTTTGTTGTTCTATTGTTTTATACGGTTTGTCGACTCACTTTATGCGCTTGTCGACGTCAGATAATCCTCTTTGACTCGGATAATGACGTTCATCGTCTCCTCTTCATCTCGAGCTGTGTGCGGTAACCTATAGGTATTTTTAGAAGCTTACATTTGGTTCTAAGAGAAGACTGAGCTATCTTCCAAGTAGCCAAATCGGAGACTAACAGCAAGAGATCCATCGTCTTTGTCGGACTGTTAACGGAGTATAAGATCGACGATTCATCGGCACGCGGAAAAGAACTCTCAGGAAATATAAAATTTCCTTAATTTTAATTGTATTCTATTTATAGTAATATGAGCTAATTGTAATATAAAATACCCGAAATAGGTGTCACTTTAACATTTTAGCCTCTTTCATTTTCTCTAAAAGTTGGAGAAACTGGATGGAAAGTGAAGAAAGAGGAGGGGGAAAATACATTTTTATATTTTTCATATATATTTTTAGATTTTTCACATATCATTTAAGTTTTACTTGTTTACTTTCCGCTATCATTTTCCGTAATAACCAAACAGAATAAAAAGAAAGTAGATGCAATATCATTCGCCACCTTAGATTTCTCTCTTTTTACTCTTCTATCATCCAAACAAAATTTTGAGAAATATAAAGAAATAAGAAAGTGCCTTTTTGATAAAGTACTCTCTTTTTTTTTAAAATTTTCTATTTAATTTCTGCTTGACAAACACGGGAGTATTTAAATGCAAAGTTCAGAAAGTTTAGGATACATAAGCGCTGCCGAAAACAAATAACGGTACAGATGTGCAAAGTAGGGGACCATAGGGTATTTAAGTGCAATTAAGCCAAAGTGGAAACATCCAAAGGAGGCCCATTTATACGACCCCAATGATCAGAACCATGGTCTTCGTCAGGGGGCGCACGAATCTCAAAGCTCATCCCCATTTCGTTCCTCTGCTTCGACCGAAGATTTTGCTCTGATCGCCGGTTCCCTTTCAGGTTTGGGCTCTCCCCTTTCATTTGATTTTCGGCTTTAAATATAAAGGGGCTATAATCAAATTTAGGTTAGGGGATTCGATGACAAAAATTCAAATTCATTGCAAAACCCAAAGCCCCTGGGTACCAAATCCTAGGAATTTGCGTGGTTGTTCAATAGACAAGCAATTTTGAACAATATGTGAAGAATTAATGCTCAACTTTGATATTATTTGATCCAATTGTATTTCAATTTTTTTTGGGCATTTAATTACTTATAGTGAACATGAAAGATTTGAATTTTCTGCGATTATTTCTTTTGTGGCTGTGGTTGCAGGCAAATTGTTTGGAATAATGTTCAAGAACACATTTCAATCGGGTTTCTTATCTATTTTATATAGCCTTGGGTATGTGTTTTTATTTTAGGGTTTTTTGCCTTTTTTTTATATGGTTGAGCGTTACTTTTGATTTGGGAATTTTCTTATGGATTTTAATCTTTATTTGTTCTTTCAACAGGAGTAAACCATTGCAAATATGGGACAAAGAAGGTTTGTGTACTTATTTTCTCCTTTGGTAACGACTTTTGAATTAGTTGTGATCGATAGGGGACCTCTGTTGGAACTGGTGAACTGCGCAAAGATTTCATTCACCACATCTTTCTATGCAATTAAATTGGGAGCAGCACGTCTCGTATAGCTTTTTATGTGCTAGAGCTCTCCCCAAGTATGATTGCAAGATTGTAAAACCCAAATTTCTATTTTAGAATGTTAAAAAAACATACTATTTCATATGATATCTGTTTGTGAAGTTCTAAACCGTTCATGTCCTTTGAAATTTTGATGTAGCATTCATGCTCTCCTAATCTTGTAGATATAACCTTTTCCAGTTCGTTATTTATAACCTTTTCCAGTTCGTTATTCTTCTTTGTGAGTTTGTGGCAGTGACTTGTATATCTGTTTGCTTGTGGAGTATTTTCAACTAAACACGCAACAACTTGGTATACCTGCAGTTGTCAATGGGCAAATTAAACGTCCGCAGGATGAAGATATCCATTCTAACGTACTTGAAATCGTTGGATCAAATGTGCAGTCTACATACATTACATGCCCTGCTGATCCTGCTGCAACACTTGGCATAAAGCTTCCATTTTTCATCATGGTTGTGAAGAACTTAAAGAAATACTTCACCTTTGAGATCCAAATTCTGGATGATAAGAATGTCCGCCGGCGCTTCAGGGCATCAAATTTTCAAGTGCGTAACTTTTCCCAGTTGTTTTATTGTTATTGAACTCTATTTGCGTGCTTTTTTTTTGCACTATAACATAACGAGTGGAATCTACACTTGCATAAATAGCGGTAATTTGCATTTCACAAAGTATTTCAACAAGTTATCATGATAGTATGATGCATGTATCGATTGCTGAACATGTCAAATTTTCAAAATGCGCAGGTTCTTATTTGATTATTATGTATGGTTGAATTTTTAAGACCGCCTCTATAGTCATTGAGTTCTACATGCATATATGAATTAAATATAAAGAAATTTAAGTCATTTTTGTGAATTATCTGTGTCACATCAATCAATATTGTATTTTGTTTGAAAAGTGATGATTCATACAGGGTGTTAGTTTCTTTCAATGATTCAGTACGAAGTGTAGATGATGTTTTGGGTGTGTTGGTGACTTTATACTTTTTTTGTTTGTTGCATCTTTCATTATGGGCCTGCCAATTTTTTTGTGGAGATGCTTGACGTTGAGTTGTTGTCCATGGCCAATTCATTTAGTGGGAAAAGGCTAAGAGCATTTCATTTGAATAGACAAGTATGCATAGAAGTAAGAAACTTTATGCAGTGATCCAGTATTATATAGTTGGTAATATAGATCACTCTAATGTTGACAGTAGTCAACAGTGTCATTGATGGGGAACAGAGGGGAAAAAACATGAAAGTGAAGAAAAAAAAATTATAGCCTCCCACCTTGATAAATGGCCTCACTCGCACTTGAATGAAACCAATTACGGTTGCACACCTAGGCACACTAGTGTCAGAGACGAGCTCAAGAGTGGTGGGGCCGGCACGGGCGGTGGCCCCTCTTAATTTTTAATTTAATATATATAGAAGAGAGTTCAAGATATAAACAATGAGTGAAGTACATGGCTGTTGTGTAAAGGAACAAGGCGGCTGCATTCCTTACAAGCAAATATAAAGATAAAATAGTGTAACATTCAGTAATTGTTTATTCACGTCATATGGGGGTGGAGCTTTAGGAATAAAGGAAAATAAAAAAGAAAAGTACCCTATATTCCTGATGGAAATCCCAATCTCTACCCCATTTTCACATTTTTTAAAGATAGAAAGTCAATGATAACTGAAAATGTTTTAGCATAGAGGCCTATTTATTGTGAAATGGGATCCTAAAAGGCGACCTTTATCATTGCATATTCTTAATCTCGTCGTCTTTGCTATAAGTTAGGTTTAGCTTTTGCAATCACATTTTCTTTAATTTCTTCCAAGTTTGGACATGTATCGATGATTATTAAGCATGTTGTACTATTCTATTTGTAATTTCAGAGTGTATATTAAGTTATTGTTCTAGTTTCTAAGTGTGAAGGACAAATGTTCTTTGACTTGTTAGGATAATTGAATTGAGTTACACTGGCACCATTGTGTAGGGGGTGTATCTGATCCAGATACGGCTCATATATGATACCATACCCATATTCGCTTACCCATCACAGATATGGATACCTCGGTGAGGAAAATTTATATCCATATCCGCTAAATTTGGATACAGATATAGATATACATGCGAATATACGGATACAAAACCGATGTGAGAAAACTAGATAATCTTAAAAAAAAATATAGTTCATGTGATATAAACGAGTTCATTAATATGTTCATTATATTTGAAAAGCTAAGATTACTTATTTTGATCATCAAAATTAACATCAAATCCATAATCTAAGAATTAAAACTATTGTAATAATATGATTAATATGTATTCGTATATTTCGGATATAGATCCGGACTTTTCACTGCAAAACCATATCCCTAACCATATCCTATCAGTTATAGATTTGTGTAACCATATCTATAGCCTAATAGATACGTTTACGGATATTGCCTTGGATATTTAGCACCCCTACCTTTGTGTCATCAAATTTATTCAGGGCAAGCTATTTGAAATCGACAAAAAGGAGGAGGATTTAATTGATAACATGCTTGAGTTTATGTCGTCATCCATTAAACTGAGCCTCCCCAACCAAACAATCCTAGAGTTGTTCCTGACTAGTGCCTCATACTAAAGACTGCATCACACAACCTGTACCAATAATTTTTTCTCAACATTTGCGACATATTTTACTGAAGAAAATCAGTGATAGTATATTATAGACTTTTATATACTTATAAAACTTAATCACTAAGAAACTGATTCCTAACGAGGAGGATTTTCAATCATACTGAAATAAAAGATTTTCTGATGTCAATTAGAATCACTATCTAATATTTTGCCATTTATAGATAAGGCTAGTCTACAAGAAAAGTTCTAGTAAATTCAAAAGTGTAATATTAAAACAATTCAGTTCTTTGTTTCCGTATTTGATCTTTCCATTTGTGATTTCCTAGAAGAAAAGTTGTCCTACATCACTAATGCTTTCCCTTCTATGCGTTGTAATTTGTTTTATGTTGACCATACCTCTAATAAAACATCTTTGTTGCATGCTCAAGTCACAAAATGGAACATACTTTTGGTTCTGTATACTACTGTGTACTAGTAGTAACTAATGGTTGGTTGCAATCGCTAGTCATGACATTGACTTTAGTACTTGCCTTTTGCATAGCTAATCATTGCTTCTGTGGTAGAAATACTAGCCTTTTTTTTTGGTAGAAACTGGACAGGTAGATGAATTATTGTATTCTAACGCCTGAGGTTTATATTCAGATTCTTCTCTCTGATCCTTGCAGTGTTATACACTTGGTAGATGAATTATTGTATTCTAACGCCTGAGGTTTATATTCAGATTCTTCTCTCTGATCCTTGCAGTGTTATACACTTATACTGACATTCTGTTAAAGATGAACATCACGTAATGATAAATGCATTAACTTGACTTACGAATTATTTATCAGCAGAAACCATAATGTTCACTTTAAATTGTCATGCTTTCTGGTAATCTGGACTGATACTACATATTAAATAGTTTTTCTTAGAGCTTGTAACACACGTCACTTAAAGTAAATCTGATAAGGTTCAAACAGGCCTTCACATACAATAATCGATTTGGATGAGGAAAAGCTTATACTTCTCTGTTTGCAGGCTGTAACGAGGGTGAAGCCATTTATCTGCACCATGCCCCTAAAATTGGACGATGGGTGGAATAATATTCAGTTAAATCTTGCTGATTTCACAAGGAGAGCATATGGCACAAATTATGTGGAGACCCTTCGAGTCCAAGTCCACGCAAATTGCAGACTGAGGAGGATTTACTTCTCTGACCGCCTTTACTCTGAAGAAGAGCTTCCACCAGAATTTAAGCTCTATCTTCCTACACAGGTAACTTCTTCAGTTGCTTAATTATTTTCTCTGTATCTGTCAATTTATATATCTCATCTATGCTTGTTGATTAATGTTCCAGAAAGCATAGAAACCTCAAGGAGAGAGACGGTCAAAAATATCAAGAGGCTTACTCCTGTTGTAGAACATGCTGAACCCTGTGAAGGAGGTCACGACCTTGTGAGGATCTAACAGCTGATCTCCTTTGAAGATGCCTTACGTAGATTATTACGCTCTATGCCATCCTGAACTTGTTGCTGTATCTTGCTACTTCCAACTAATAACTTTTTGATATTGTTCGTCGTTATTGCCAAGTGGTTTAAAAAGGAGTTTAAATAGGCAGAGTTTGAACTATGTATCTGAAAAGCCATGCCTATCTTAAAGGTTATTCGAGGCATGAGGATTTTTTGCAGCAGGGTGCAAGTGTTCGTGTCAAATTTCGCAAACTCTTTTCGAGTTCACATAAACTTCTTGCATCACTATGTGATAAATAAGCCTGAAATGTTCCATGGAGTGAATTACGATGTAACAGCAGTAGTACACTGACAGTACATCACTTGAATTACACTGTAACAACAACAGTACACTGTCACAGTACATCACTTGTGGATGGGGGTGGAAGCGAACCAAATTCGATTTGAATATGCTAGGATTAATATTTGGTTCGAATGTGGCTATGATTCATATTAGGTTTGTATGTGACAATTCGAATTCGAAACAAATAGCAAACTAGCATTCTTTCGAATAGCAAACTAGCATTCGAATTCGATTCGGGTAGTATCCGACTATTCAATAATTATTCGTGAACATTCATTAAGAGTGTTTGGGTAGTCTTTGTAAATTATTCAGTAGATATTCGGCCATTTGTTATCCTAGTCTCGTAAAAGAGCGAAACATGATATACTTGATGAATATGCAACCTAATGATAAGTAACATTCACAAATAAAAACTATTTATCCATATTTTAAGGAATAAACTGTATAAACTAATAGTTCATTAAACAAACGAATTAAATATATCTATCGTTAAATTCTATTCGTTTATTAACTGAATAATAAAAGATATTCGTTTATTATTAAATACACTAATGAATCAAATATGACCGAATGAATATTGAACTATTTGTTAGATATTTGGTTTGTTTCCACCCTTGTTTGTGGACACTTGGAGATTGACCAATGCACCCGCATCTGGTTTTGCCAGCAGGGATGATCCCTTATTGTTAAAAACCAACTTTTGGGCTAGTACATCCAATTTGATGAATCTTGGAGATCCCAAACCAAAATTGAAGAAAAATACAGAAATGTATTCATGAATATATGAGCGCATTTGAATCAATGACAACACTAGTATCATAGAGAGGAAGAATAGCTGGTCATTGCCCATACAAGATCTGAAAAAGAAAAAGGGTGGGGTGGGGGGGGGGGGGGGACAGGACCCGACACCCGCACCGGACGCAATAGGGGCGCACTCTGCGTAGAAAATGGCGCATGCACATGGTGTTTCCTATGGGTGAGAACGGGAGGAAGGTTCCTGCCTGTATTTCTCGCCGCCATGCCCGCACTATGCCCACCGCGTGGACGGGCGGCTCTCAAGCAATAATCATTGAAACCAGCAGAGGACATGCAAAATCTACCTGTGACCTAGTCCAATAACATTTCTTATGGAGTTGGCCTCCTCTTTTGCACTCTCCACCAAGGAATCCTGAAAAAGGAAAATACATCTTTTGATCATACAATGTCTGGTTTCTTTCCACATGTAAAAACTGTATTTAGTATAAATTAGAAAGCTGGAATGGAATAGTGAAAATAAAGTAGAGAATATGATAAAAAAAAATTATCGTGAGCAAGGTAGCTCCTGTAAAATGGAGGGGATTAATTGAGATGGGTTTAGATAGAGGCTAATGTGTGTCTCAATTCAAGCAAAGTATTAAGATTATAATTGGTGAAAAAAAAAGAATTAAAAATAATAATAGAGGGTACGTGTCTAATAGAACTAAGGATACAACCGTGGCTAACTTGGCAAAAAAATGTTGTTTTAACGGAACTTAAGAAGGTTTTAGGATAAAGTCTTTCTGAACTGACATTTTGTACAATTTTAGTTTGTCCTTAGAATGAATCCTTTCAGTTATTGTCAAAAGAAAAGCAAACTATCATCGCTAATTGACAATTCCATCCAAAAGTTGGTCAATAATGGCATAAAACTACCTGTGCATATATAAGCCTTCTAACAACTCTCCTGCTTGTCTCCTGAAGGTTACCAGCAAGCAAAACTTCATCCAGTATATAATAAGCCTGCAAAATTCAAAGTATTTATTTATTTTTTGAATGCTAGAGGTAAAAAAAAGGGATAAAAAATGCATTGCGAAAAACCACAGAAAATAAATACCTTGTGGAAGTTAAAGATCAAATCCAGCTCGCACACCTGAAACTCAATAATACAAGATAAAGTTAGATTCTATCGTATTCCTATAAAAATGATATCTATAATAAACTGTAGATGATAATTGGAATACTGTATGATCACATTGCCAAAGTACTCGTCCAAGATCACAAGAAAATGATGAATGAGTTCGAGGACCTCCAACTCATTGTCATCCGCATCGATACACATACAGAAATATAGGGAAGCATATCTGCAAATAAGAACAATTTTACGAGAATTTGAGATATTTGCAATCCAAGCAAGATTATGTACACTCGCACAATACCATGCACATCTGCATTACCTCCTGTATACTACTTTGAAACCTCTCCACTCGACGAAATTGCAGAGCTTTGGAGCTCGTCGAAGAATATCATTGCTTAGTTCGCGAATGACCTTCCGAAGGATAGAAATTGAATTTAAAATGTATACAACGTACAACGAATCATAAAAGATGTACAACGTGGTAAAAAGTTAAAAACCCAAGTAAGATAAGGCGGTAAAAAAAAAAGTCAACTGCATACTTTGGACCTTTCCTTCTGTGAATATGAAGAGTACCATTTTGTCAATCTCACTTTGCCTTGTCGATTAATTAGAAGTATGAAATGAATCTGAAACAATGAGAAAACAAAGTAAAATAATAAATATATAAATATAGGAGATATCGATCCCAAAGTTTGCAGGGAACAACGATATTCTCATGAGAAATTAAGAGTACATATATATGCTATAAAAAATTAATGAAGAAACTACCGGTTAAAAGCTTCATGGATCCACTAATTACATAGGCATTCAAAATGAATGAACTATTACCACATTGAAGTAGAAGAGTAAAACCTTACAAAAACTATTGTGAAAGGCAAAATTTAAAAAAAAAAGGTAGGTGGATGACGAACCATTTTTTAATTTGTGTCTGTCTTCAATCTAAGGAAAAACTAACTAATAATAAAAGGGACAGAAAAAGGAGGATAGTGCTCCTTACTAATAAATAATCCTATAATTAAAAAAGATTGGGCTTTGACTAAGCCGGTCCAAGTATTCTAACGTAAACATCGCTAATTATAAGGCTTGGTGCACAAAATTAAATTAAACCGCAAATTAAGAGATAATCCTCCTCCCATCCGCACAGGTTGCTACCCCATAGCAAAGATATCTCAGCCAAAAAGAAAATCACAAATTCAACGTATGTATTCCGAAAATTTTGTTCGGTGTAATAATCTTTAATAGTGTTATTTGTTCAGCATAAAGTTAAGTATTGTGCATTTTGTAAATATTTTCCACCACGCGCTCCCACAACCAGAGTGCCATCCTATTGGGTTAATTTCAGAAAACCCCTTTAACTTTGGGGGTGTTGCACTAAAACCCTCTTGAACTTCTGTTGTTGTTAAACATAAAATAGGTACGACAACAACAATCAATCCATATTTGTGAACAATGGAGAACCTTGTCGTCACTTGTACGTTAGATGTTTGGTAGCATCGCATCTCCGATCACTAATCGTGAGGAAGCAGAAACCAGAATTCCCTTGAACAGTTGTTATTCCACTAAAACCCTTAAACTTTAGGGGTTGTTGCATGTGACCCCCCCCCTAGACTTCTTTATTACACCAATATATTCTACTTGGAAACTTCTCATCTAATTCCAAAAATTAGCACCGTCATTTTGAACAAGTCATAAGGAGAGCACGCTAAAAGACGGAGATTACCTCACCCGCCACCCACCCATCCACCCACGCACGACCCATCAGACTCACCCCACCCACACACAGAAATCCCGCCACTGCCCCGCCAGAAAAAAAACATTTTGTCTTTTTACTAAAAGATTATTTTTTGTGTCTAATAAGGATTATTTATTTCTTTTTTGTCACGTTCTGCGACTTGACATGCTAGTGTTGACAGTGCTAGATTGGATAATTTGTTGGATTAAATGATAATCTTTTGGTGAAATTAAATGAACTATAAAAGTTCAGGGGATTTATATGCAATAGCCTCTAAGTCGAGGGAGTTTACTGTAATTAAAAAGTTAGGGGGTTTAATGCAACAAGCCGAAAGGTCAGGGGAGTTTTCCGTCATTATATCCCTTTTTATGTACTTAACTACAATTAGGTTTGGGTAGTTCGGGCCATGTAATTTTGGTTCCTTTTGGGCCTTATGGCCCAGTGAAATGGATTTTCCCCATTCTAGTGTACAATAGTAACTAGCCATTCACCAGTATTTTCTGACCAGGCCTTTTAAATCCATCTCGTCCGAACCAAATTTTGTTAGGAAATATTGATTATGCACACAAAAAAAAGAAAAATTCACAAATTTTTTTTGTAGAGATCGAGCTCGGAACGAAAAATTTATGGTCTAAGGGGTTTTTGGGCCTTGACTTTTTAGAAGACAAGGGAAAATGAGAAAAAGTCCCTCGCTAGCCCCGCACCCCCCACCCCCTATCTATTGTTTATTATCTAGCTTTTCTTATCTCCAAAGTCCACACTAGCAAAAATAAGGAAATTGGCGACGAGGTATTAGCAGGGGATATCAAATCCGTCGTCAATAAGAACATTGGCGACGGAAACAGTCCCGCCGCCAATACCTCGTCGCCAATGTTTGCATTGGAGACAGGTGTTGGCCGTCGCCAATGCGTATTAGTGACTGGTTATCCCGTTGCCAATGAGTGACCCCTACAAAAATTAAGGGTTATTTTAATATTAGTCCCTCAAATCTTCAATATTTCAAAAGTAATCCCCCAAATTATGGAAATTGTTAACACATCTAGAGGTGGAAATGAACCAAATAATTAACAAATAGTTCGATAATTATCAAATAACTATTCAATCATATTCGATTCAATAGTCCATTTAACATAAACAAATATTTTTTAGTATTCGAGTTTGCTAACGATTAGAATTTGACCAGATGTATAATCAATTCATTTGTCTATTAAATATTCATTTAAATTGATCACAAGTTACTATTTGTATTATTGCATATATGATGTCGTACTTTTAATCACTTATCATTTCTACTTAAGTTTTATATACTGGTTTTAAGAATTAAATAATCTTAAATCTATTTTCTAATTAAATTTTGATTTAAATATATACACATCATATATCATAAAGGAATAATTTTTATTTATAAATTTTAATACTACTTGAAAATTAATTCTTTAGCGGAATAAATATACTTTGATATTCGATCGATAAGTATTCATGAGTTTTTAGCTTCGACTTCAATTAGTTTAGAGAAAATGATGAGAAAAATAAAAAGATGGGAATATGGTGAGAGACTAATGAGGATATCATTTTTAGTTACACGTGTTATGAGCATGTAACCATATTGATCTTGCTAATGATATACCAGAACTTATCTGTGACGCCCCTGTTTTCACACTTGGCTGCAGTCCAAGGTGAACCCAGAGATGTCAAACCTGTCATGCACCTCCACTGTGCAACAACATGTTTCACCAATCACAGTAATATCCTCTAGTGGAAACCAATATAAATGAAGGTACAAAACAGGCAAATAAGGGAAATAAATACTATAGACATGATACGGAAAGATATATCTCATAAATGAAATCATGTCTCAAATAAACTAAACTGGAATACAACTGATATACATCTGGAGTCTAAAATAACATGATATGTCTCAACATGAATCGATTAGAAATAGTACTAAGGCATATTGCCTTAACAATATGAGTACAAACTCAAATGACTAAATGGAAACATAAGATCACTGTGGAGTCCATACTAGTAAAAATACGCGACGACGACTATGCAAAAACTCTGTCACCCTGCGACTCTCCGATGCTCTGAGCCGCCTGAAATGAGAAATAAAATAAAAGAAAAAGAACAACAACAAGAGCGTCAGAGCGCTACAGCAAGTTCACCTCCATCCGCCCCCAGGGGAAGGGCTGCTAGATGATGAAGTGGAGGCTCTATCTATTAAGCATAGTCTACCTAGATCATTTTCTCTGTATCTAATGAAATTAATATTTAGAAACTTACAACTTGAGACGTAGTACGTCGAGCGAAATAATCCAAACAAGGAAACCCTCATGTATATACCGTATGTCTCAGATAGTAAATAACTAAATATTAACCCTGAACTAAGCAATCAAAATATAATTGGAAAGTAAAGCATCATAATAGACATCAGCATATGTATCTCGTGTACTCGTATAGCAAAGTATCTCAACAATGAGTAGAAACACTTTTGGCATCCGCCAAATACTCATGTAAATAGTTTATAATATTATTATTATGAACTTCTTCCAACTCATCGCATCATCACGCGGATCGACAAATAGGTATCATCGCATCATAGTGCAGATCGACAAATAGGTATCATCGCATCATAGTGCGGATCGACAAATATGTATCATCGCATCATAGTGCGGATCGACATATATGTATCATCGCATCACCGTGCGGATCGACAAATAGGTATCATCGCAGTCTCATTTGCGGTGTACTAACTCACAAGTAAATAGATCTCAATTCGTCATAATCCCCGTGGGATACTCAAATGCGTATTTCGTCATATTCATGACTGTAAGTATAACATCAAGCGGCTCAAACTCCGCGATCGCGTCACAAACGGCGCAAACAAACTCCAGAAAATAAAACTAGGCCAAACTGTCTAGTAAATGATCAGGATTTCCAACCCCGACTATCTGCGGTATTAACTAATTGTGAATAGTATCAGTACTTAATAATAGCAACAGTACTTTACGACTAGTATCCGTACTCATGAATAGTAACAGTACATATGAATAGTACCGTATGCATGAATAGTAACGGTATGTATAAATAGTACCCATACGTATGAATAATGTCAGTACTTATGAATAGTGTCGTATGTATGAACAATAACAGTACGTATGAATAGTACCCCCAGTATGCATGAATAGTAATAGTACTTATGAATAGTGCCGTACGTATGAACAGTACGGTATTTATAAATAGTACCACAGTATGTATGAATAGTACCCATGACTAGTGCCGTACGTATGAACAGTACGGTATTTATAAATAGTACCATAGTATTTATGAATAGTACCCATGAATAGTATCGTACGTATGAACAGTACGGTATTTATAAATAGTACCACAGTATTTATGAATAGTACCCATGAATAGTGTCGTACGTATAAACAATACGGTATTTATGAATAGTACCGTACATATGAATAGTACCCATGTTATGAATAGTGTCGTACGTATGAATAGTACCGTATATATGAATAGTACCATACGTATAAAAAAATAGTAACAGTATTTCCAGCGGTAGACATGTACGTATAGTTCTAGCTGGCAATATCATGTCTTTAGGAATTTGGTCTTATATTCTATTCATCAATTTTCATCAATATCAAGTCTTTTCTTCAATATCATGTATATTCATCAATTTTTATCAATATCATGTCTTTTCATCAATATCATGTATATTCATCAATATCATGTCTTTTCATCAATATCATGTATATTCATCAATATCATGTATATTCATCAAGATCAAAATTTACTGGGGATGGGTTTGGAAAGAGATGAACTTGCCTTTATTGAACTCTGAAATTGAAATCCCTATCCGTTCCTACTTTTCGAATTGCCAAAATCCCCTTCTTCTTTCCCTTTCTTTTCTTCCTCTCTCTCTCTCTCTCTCTCTCTCTCTCTTCTTTCTCTCTCGTTGAGTGTGTGCAGAGAGTGAGGGGGCTCTGTCCCTTTTTATAGAGAGATGAGGGTAGGGGGTAGGTGGCACAGTGTGAGGAGTTGGTGGCACAGGAAAAAGAGAGAAAAAATATATATATAATATTTTATATTATTTTTAAAAATAGGATTTCAGACTCTATTCTCAGAAATCATCAAAAATTTACCCATAGCACCGTCTCATCATTCTAAGATCAATGGTGTAAACCTCATGTCCATATGATCAATATAAAAATTATTAAAAATACAAATACGATAGATGTCAGTAGACGCGATACTGTCTCAAAAT